ACACTCTCTCACATGCTGAAACACTCACACAGGCACACTCACGCGCGCTCACACACACGCACACACACGCTCACACACACACTCTCCCACACACGCACTCACACACACGCTCACACATGCTCACACACAGCACTCGACACCGCTGAACACCCAGAAATGAAAGTTCATCATCATGTGCTTCTAAACCTTCATGACTGACTGACTTCTGTGGAAGGAGAGAGATTCAGTGTGCTAATAATAATAAACAGGAACTGAAGCTTCCCGGCTTCAAAAAGCACGCAGAACCACTGTAAAAATATCCTAAATGTCAAACAGTCAGACAGAATTTTTTTAGTTGTGAAATTGCAAGTGTTTCGCGGGTTTTTTTTTTTAATGTAATTTTTCAGTAATTTTACATTTCTTTATTTAAAACAATATTTATGACATCTTCAGCATTATTTGTGCTGTGTACATACATTCATGCCACCTCTGAGCCGCATCAAACAGTGTGTGTAAATGCATCTAATGCCGGTTCAGATGCAGCTCCTGTAGTTCACTTAAGATGCCCATAACTCTAGAGTTTAGATTTTTGGGTGACCTGTTCTTTAGCAATCAGGACAGGAGCGCTCCTCTCAACACTGACCTCCTCTGCTGCGCTGACGGAAATGATCTCATCAGTTATTAATCACCTCTTCTTCTTCAGCAACTGCCTGTGGTGACCTCCAGTAATATCGTGCGCTGCCGCTCCTGTCGAACCTACATCAACCCGTTCGTGACCTTCCTGGACGCTAGAAGATGGAAGTGCAACCTGTGTCACAGAGTCAATGATGGTGAGCGCTAGTGTGATGATGAGTTATTAGTTATTTTGTCATTTATGCGGTATAATATGTGTTTTAAATCGTGTGATCTCAGTTCCAGAGGAGTTCATGTATAATCCGGTCAGCAGATTGTATGGAGCGCCTCACAAAAGACCAGAGGTGCAGAACGCCACCATCGAGTTCATCGCCCCGTCAGAATACATGGTACGAGTTATTATAGTTTTTACTAAGATTTTTATTTTTTTAATCTTATATTTTCTAGGGCTGCCCCCTAATAGTCGACTAACCTTTAGTCAATGAGAAGAAGCTTGGTCAACCAAAATTGTATTAGTCGCTTAGTCACAAAAAAAAAAAATCCACAGGAAGTGTAGAGGTCACACAGTCCGTGATGGACAGATCGTTAACGGCTGGATTTTGTGGTAATACAGTACATTTAATCGCTCGCCTATCATTAATCGACCTCAAATATGGCTTATCATCTGAAATATGTAAGTAGTAGCAACTTTACAAGGCCGCTCAATCTAATGTTAACCTAGAGAAATGTGCGCTGTTCAAGTGTCTGAACAGTAGCGCTCACTTGCTCTTAAAATACTCCGTCATTTTGCTCATACAGATAAGAGTAATGAATGTTTCGAAGCTGTAAAGCCTCTTCGTTTATTTGTGTGCACTCACTATAACAACAAAACATTGCACTTTTGTAAAATAATGAAAGCAAACAGGATGCGCTTTCTGCCGTCTCGGTCTCTGTGAACTTGAGCGTGAAACTGTGTATACTTGCCTTACAGACATGAAAAATATATCTATAGCGAGTGAAATGTCTACTTTCAAATGAAACAATTAAAGTCTGAAAAAACTAATATTCTCAGATTATGTAATCCATATAAAACTTGCATGCATGCGCATCCACTACTGTGGAGAGGACGAGGCAGTGTCGCTGAATTCATTTATTAAAGTGTTAATGCAGTTTAATTGGACTGTTTTTCCCTGACACGTTCATCATCATTACTTCTGCCGGTGTGCTGTGGCAAGCTTTATGCGCGCGCTTGAGCTCTTATTAGGCTGTGTAGGCAATTAAAGGCTCATTAGCATAATTTAAATGGTTTATTAATAAACGTGCGATTAATCGACTAATGCTTAAAATGAACCAGAAAAATCTTAAGTCGAGGGCAGCCCTAATATTTTATGTTTTCATCGTAATTTTAAAGTTTTAGTAATTTTGCAGTATGTTTTTGTCTTTTTTCATTAGTTTTTTGTCTTAAATAATTATGAATATTTTTAATAGTTTTTAGATTTGTTTTCATTTTTAATTTTAGTCATTTAGTTGTGTTTTTGTCATTTTTAGTAGTTTTTTAATGTCTATGAAGTTTAGTAGTTTTAGTTTAGTTTAGTTTGTTTTAGTCAAGTTCAAGTTAATTAAATTGAACAATGCTGCCATTGCAACTAGCTGAAATCAAATGTTTTTTTTT